AAATTTATGGTGCAGTTAGAAGACTAGTGAACTTTGCTTGGAAAAATTGGATAATAAATAGTCGTGTGTTGCTTTACTGTTATATATAATATATGTACAACATGAAAGAAGAGTTTTAATACCTCTCATAATCTATCAAATTTATTATTATATTAATTTTTTGTTTAATTTTGTATCAAATATAAATACTCATATACAAATTAAAATACTCGTATGACGAAGCTCTCCAATTTCAATGATTTTCGGTGACAATGTTTCTGAAAAAAACGGTAGCATTCGGTCATTTTCATCACCAACGAGTAATACAGAATTCTGAAATTAAACGCGCGAGACAAATTGATAGCCCAAAAAATCTCTAATCTGAAATATCGGTCGTATACTCGTATTTGCTATAGGGGTCCGACAAGTAATCGATTAAATATATTAACGCATCTGTGCATCAACTTCGGTTGAAATATCTCAAAATCTAGGGACTAGTTTACGTGCAAAGCGACGGATGGACGGAATAACTCACCGACTCGTCGCTCTGATACGATCAGTGTACATTTTGATGGGTCTTTCTATTCTCCATCTGATACTCATTTACTTATATACTTCGGCGCAAAGTTACAAAAGCATGTACGTAGATGAAAAGTATAGAAAAAAACTTGTTATTTCCAGAAATATTTATATTTTTAAGATTACAAAAGAATTTATTTAATTTTGATTTTGGAATTTTATTTTGCTTTATAGATTTTAAACGAAATCAAAAACAGAAAAAGTAAATGCATTTTTAAGTCAATATGTGAATGGCTTTATTTATTTATCCACATGATAATATCATATTTATTCATAACATACATCAACATATACATATTTTATAACATATATTATGTAAGCCCATAGGCCGAGAAGCCGACGAAGGTAAATGCGTTTGAATGACAATTTTTATTAAATTTATTCTTTGCTACTTCTAAGCTTTCGATAATATTGAAGCAGAAGAAGAAGCGAAAAACTATAAACATGGTTAACGGAAGACCAAAACGAAGCAGCACGCCAAAGAAGACGACTTTGGCACAGAAACTTTGTTTTGGACGCAAAACAATGAGAAATCGAAAGGCCTTTAAATTGATATGAGTATGTGTTAGTGTACGTCTATCTGCATTTATATCTGTGTGTATTTGTTCTCAATCGGATGTTGCACTATGTGCGATTATATATTGTAATCAGTTGACGTTTGCTACACTCGTATGACTTACATAATACCTTCTTAACCCTATAATAAAACTGGCGATGCATACAAAGAAGTCATTTAAGTCGGTCATTAAGTTGTTAGTGTAATGAACCGTTTTCTTTAGTGAGCGAAACTGAAACTAAGATCTTTTAAATAAGTAGTTCATTTCGTAAATAAGTGGCTTTAGCTTGGACTCATGTATGGACATATGTACACGCATACATACACGTGTAATATTATGCTGCAGATTAATTTTGTTTTATGAATAAAAAAAAAACTAATTAAACAAATTTGTAAATTCTGGTTTTTATGTAAATTGCGGCTTGCATTTTTTTTCTAATTGTAAACATTTTCAAAATTATGCAAATTATTTCATTTCATGGTAGCTTTTGCGGTTTCATAAAAATATTAGACATGCCGTATGCATACATACCCTGGAGGAAGAAATGCTTTTTGTTAACAAGTATCCAACTGGTTTGCATTTTCGGCCTAATGATTTCATCTCCCACCTATTTCCCATATAGGCATCTGGTATTTTTAACACAGCAAAGCCCTACGAGCCGTCGATTGTACGTCTACGCATCAGCTTCAAACTAGTTGTATACGCGTTCATTCAGGCATGAAGGTAAATGAAAAGAGTTTGGCTGCAATGAGACTCGTGCCGTGAGCTTCACTCACTACAGCAATATCGCCACTCGGCTCTCGTGACGATTTAGAAAGGAAAGTCATTTTGCGCACTTCAACGGAGCGTAAGTGGGAATGAATGTAATAACAGCTCAGGGGGGGGGGGGTGGACATTTTTATTACTCCCGCCACTGGTGAGCTGATATACAAATAACCAAGGAGTATGATTTAACTTTCAAAGTACTAGTATTTAACTAAAAAATCTCGCATCTAGTATGCTACCGTCTCTCTACAGGGTACCAACATACGTGTATGCATATGTGTATATGTGCATCATATGCTTGTTTACAGTTCTTTTTAATTTTTGAATATTTATATATACAATGCATCCGTACATGCACTCGACGTACTCAAATACATATGAATTTATATACCTATACATATGTATCTATGTATGTATGTATGTATATATATTTGTGTACTGTGAAAAGAATATGACAAGTGACCACTTGCAGGTTGCATCGAAGCTACAGCGGATATCCTTGAGAAACTCATAGTTACGAGTATATTACATTGCATTTGTAGGTACACTTGTGGCCGATTAAATAGTTTCAATTTTACAGGATTGCGGTTTTACTTTATACACGTGTTTTAAATATACAGCTACTAAAAGTTAGAGACAAAGTGCTAAAACTTTTCAAAACATCAAGGAACAGTGTGAAATATTTAACATCATACAAAACCTTCTTGTCCGTCAATTTCGGCCAAAACCACCACCGTTTTTTGTTTGCCGCTACTGTAGATGATCCACTTTTTATCAGCAGTCACCATCAGATTATGTGGCAGTTCGCAGACATAAGTTCTGCCCATGAGGTTTTTTCTCAGTCTTTTTCAAGCTTTTTCAAGTGGTTCTAGACTTTTTTTGTCCAAGTTTAGCTCCTGTGCGGTCATTAGCCCGCGTGACTCGACGACTTCCATAATTTTATCGACATTTTCTCCGACTGGTTTTCAACAATGTGGAGCATCTTTTACATCAAAGTTACCGGAACGAAATCGACGATACCAGAATTGTGCATGATAGACTGTTATACGTTTAGTATCAAGACCATCAACACTATTCACATTTTCAGCTGCCAGACTTGTGTTTTCGTCTTTATCGAAGAATAACATCTTTCTAAAGCCAGCTAGCGTAATCGCATCACACTTACAGAACGCCAGATACAGATTACAAAAGCCATCTATTGCAAAAGGAATGGAGTACTTTAGACCTAACGACCGCAATAGGAAAAATAAATTTTCCATTCTTCTATTATTGTTAGAAAAAATGAGGCACAAAAAACTGGAGCAATCATTGGCTTATAAGTGACTATTTTTTTTAAATGAGTAAGGAATTGTGCTCTTATTTTTTAATCGCAACTGTATTTTAAAAACCGCCAAACACTCACTGTAACTCCAACTTATAAAGTGCTCTACTGGGATAAGTCAGCCAGTAAGTACTTGAGCAACAAATGCCGGAATCAACGTCAAGAATTCACGGCGTTTTATTGCTTATGATTTTGGAGAATGTTTTTAAGTTTTGACTTCTTGCTGTGTTGTTATCGTTTTCTATTCAAGTTTACTTATTGCATACAAAGTCACTACATTCACAAGTAGAAGGGCATGCTTAATGTACGTATGTACGAGGTGGGTTCAGTATTAAAGAGAACTTTTTAATTTCTCGGGCTTATTGAGACCGGTTTGTCAAATATTTGTGTTATTTGTTTGGTGCAGCATGAAGTATGGCGTTGAATACTACAGGACATCAGAAACCTATTAACACGTTGAAATGTGTAAAAAACGGTTATCAACGATACCCAAATCATAAATAGGGAAACCGCTAATGATGCTGGTGTGTCCATTGGATCAACTCATGACATTTTTCCAAAATTTTGGTTACAAAAAGAGTGGCAGCAATATTTGTTCCGAAATTGATTAATCGTTACTTCATGTCGAAATATACTCGGAAGCGTTGACTTTACATGCCTAGGGGAGATCGGAATTAGATCAGGTTTTTTCTATAATTTTGGATTTTAATAAATTCAGATTACGAACTTTTGAACCTTCACATGGTAGCACACGACAATAATAAGATTTTATAAGTGTTGATTTTTATGTATTTCATTTTAAATTATAACACTGTCGCTCATAGACCTCGTAGCTAGAGCCAAATTATCGCAGGAGCTTCATGAGAAGCTTTCTATTTATACCCAAAGAGGTTAACATTCCCTGCACGACAGCTAAAGCCCCCTAAACCTGAGTACTGAATTCGGTCGGGCAATGCAGTGCAGCTTCTGTCCGAGAACTTGTTAAAAAGAAGCAATCATAAAATACAATTTTTTTATTCGGGAAAAGTTGTCAGGGTAGCCACTTCTCATAATTTTTTGTTTTTTTTTTTACTTTATTTTGCTAACTGTTTTTTTATATACCAGCGATATTTTGGTTAAAATCTTTCTACTTTTAAAATGAACATTTGAAGCAATTGACAATGCTCTGCGCCGGCATACATACATTCAGATGTTTATAGGTACAAATGTTCATATTACATAGGAACGAGGCAGGCTACAAGGCATAGAATACGCCTTAGAAACTTTGAAAAATAAATTCAATGAATATTTACTTTTAACCAAAATATTCTGTCCAAACATGTATGTATGTGTGCACTTACGAGTATATGTATGTATATGTGAATAAATTAATATTTTTAATTTCGCGCATCAAATTACAAAGTGCAAATAAAAGTATGAAGAACTGTTCTATGAAAATAAATAATAAAAATATCTACATACATATGTATGTATGTACAATTAACAAATACTAGTATATCTATGTATGTATATACATAAATATATGTATGTATGTGTAATACTTAAAATGTGTCGTAGTTAGTTTCTATATACATATATAGTCGTACTAAGTGCTTTTAGTTTTTAAGACATTTTTTTGTTCTTGCTGTTGTTGGTTATTTGTAGTTAATCTGCTCATTTATTGGTACACAGTCCGAATGCGAGCTACGAGGTACCGCTATTGTTGTTGATTCACCAAATATACTGCGCATGAATATGTTACTTAGCATGTGCCTACAAAGCCACCAACCGCTCAACCAGACAACCAAACAACAAACAGACACACTTAGCCAAGCGAATTGCCACAAATTGAGTCGTCGAGATCGTTGCGAAGTTTTAAATCTCGTGCCGCGCTCAAAGCAGCCATCAGATGAAATTCTCATCTCGCCGTGCATTGACGCCACCAGTTGCTTCCCTGTAAATCAAAATACCAACACATTTTTTGTACGAAAAATCGGTTTTTAAAATTTGTTGCAAAAAAAAAAACAAAAAATTGGAATACTTGTGTGAACTGTTCAGTGTGTTAATTTGCAAGGAGTTTGTTGTTGCGAAAAAAATCATTCATATTTTGTGCTGTGATAAAAAGTTGCCTTTGTTTTTGAAAACCTCTGTTCGAAAAAAAGTTTTACTTTAAAATGTGGAAATCATTATTCATCTGCTTTGCTGTCTTTCAAGTAATTTCAGCACAGAAAAGTGATATACGTAAGTTTGTTTGTTTATTTTATTTACTTATTAACATGCATTGAGAAAGAAAGAGTTTTTTTTTTTAATTTAAGGAGCTCCTAAGGAAGATTTAAATATTTCTGGTTGCTTTGTATATAAGAAAATCTAAGATAATTTACGATAATAATTTTTTTTTAAGGAAAAAGTGAATATGAATTATGTTACTGTTAAAATGTATGTATGTTTTTGTATTCATACACACACATTGTCGAGCATCTATTGAAAAGGCATAAATAATGTTTTTAAGTGAAACTTGCGCTTGCAACTCCCTGAAAATTTAACAGAAAATCGTCTTAGCTTCTAGATATGCAAACAGAGAATTTTTCGCCAGAAACTTTGAAAGAAAAAGTGTTTTTATTTTCGGTGCTCCTGTGCGAATTTAATCTTTCTGTAGTTACGTCGTTTTACATTTCATCTGGTGATATTTCTGCACGTTCACAAACGAAGAAATATGTATGTATGTATATAAGTTTGGTTGCAATTAATTTGCAAATATGTGTGAATATGTTGCAAGCAGCCTTGACGAAATTGCGACTTGAAAGAGTATTTTTTGTCTACTCGTTAAAAGGAAATCGTAACCAGTTTCGTATTTATTGGAAACTTCAATTAAAAATTTTGACTGAAAAAAAAAACAAAAACACAAAAACAAAAACACAAAAACAAAAAATAATAGTGCCTAAGAAACATTTGTTTTCTTAGATGTGTGTGTAGCGCTCGTGTCAATGCAATAAAGAAAAAAGGTATAAATTTATTCTAATAAGAGAAAATATAAATATATTGTAGTATGCACAAATTTAGGCTTCATTTGACCAATTTTTGTTTGACCTACAGATATCAGATATTCTTTAACCTTAACGATAGATATCTTGCAATAAGAATCTCACAATCAATGAAATTTAGTATTTCATACTTCCTCTTATATTTTATTGCTAAGTTTTAAGTATATAATTTTAATTGATTGTAATTAATATTTGTTTTAATAAAAGAATTTTGTAATTCGAACTTTGAAACATTGATTAGGACTTAATATTGATTAAGATATACTCGTATTTCTCCTTAATGAACTGTAGAGGAGCTCCAAATAAAAATCGAGCCGCGCTTCTGGGTTCTTAGCAATCACCGTCAAAATCTTGAGATAAGGATCAAATATATATGTACAAAAGAATTTACCCTGACCATGGTATCTATGGTAGTTGTCATGATTTCGGTGGCTCGGTTGGATTCGAAAATCGTTAAAATACAATAGGGAATCCCACCACGGTTAAAGATACTTGCTCAGAAGCTTGTTTGTATATAATGAAATTTCCGAATTCACGTGACAAACCGTTATTTATATAAGTATAGAAACAATGAACAAATTTCAATATAAAAAAGGAGAAAACAGTCAAATTAATATGGCAATCATTGCCATATTGAATATTGTAGAATACGAGAATTCCGTTACAATTGTGATACAAAAACTTGGTATGTGCGTGTATACATATATACATACATATCTATGCTACTAATATTTTAACATATTTATATAATTCACAAGTATTTGAATTAACAACCGGTGCGAGACGTAACAAAGACGCGTAACCTCCGCTTATGCGGCTTTGTTTGTGTGAATATACAAAAGCAATAATAATTAAATTTCAAGTTGAAGGTCTTTTAACGGTGGCTGCTTCAAAATGCCGCTAGGCAGGTAAACAAGGCAAGAAACATCAATAACATCAATAATTTAATTTATGTATTTGTACCGAATTCTGCATCTCTACTCTGTTGACCACTAAAAAACGGAAGTTGTTGCTCAAAATAGTATAATGCCATTAATTGATTTTTTCAACACACATACAAGCAATGGCATTAAACGATTAAACATAGTTTCAATGTTAGATTATTATCTTTTGGTCGCTGCGTACCAGTTGGCGTTCGATGTCAAAGGGAGTTCGTTTAACTAACTAAACAGCAAAGAGATAAATAAAAGTAAAAATTAAAATAAATAAAGAAATATGAATTATGCTAAGCCAATATTGTATAGTGTAATAAAACAGAAAATTCGTTGTTACTTATTTAGTTGTTTGTGCACATGGATGTGTTTCTATTTCACTTATTTAACAGTACAATGAACTTTATGAGCTGAATATGTGTAAAAGCTGAATATTGATTATTTACATTAACATCATTTTATCTGTTCGTAAGTAATTATTTAAGTTTATCGGTTTGTAAAGCTTAAAGGTAAAAATTTGTAACTTTCAGTTAAATGATGGCTTAACAAACAACTGCGCCTAGCAGATCCGTCATGACTCTAATACTATTACGAGAATATCTCTATTTTGTATACTTGCACACACATACGTATACATGTACATATACTTTGCATTGCTAAAGGATTTAAGTAGCTTATAATAAACTTGATGTTACTCATCTACAGTTTAATTCAAAGTGCGGCTTTCTATTTTTTATTTATCTATTTTTTACAGCTGAATATATTAAGCAATGTCGTCGAGGTGACCCGCAATTGCTGGAGTGTTTTAAAGGTTCTTTGGAGCATTTGAGGCCATATTTGGCGCGCGGAATTCCGGAGATCGAGGTGTGTTGAAATTTTGTTTGAATTTAATGAAGTATATATGTACATATGTACATAACTATGTATGCCTGCAATTGATGGTTTTATTAAAATTGCTACAGATCTTGAGGAAGTTTAATATGTATATGTAGTGGTTGCACCAGAAAGAAATATTTATATACATATATCGAATAACAAGTGCTGCCTACGGCCTTTCATAATTATATGAAATTTATTGTTCAATATTTCATTTCAAGATTAAATATTATTTCGGATATGTGAAGAATTGGTTGCAGGGGGCTATGCGATATTGTCCTGTGATTTCGGTGATTTTCGGTGACATGTTTATTTGTATGTGCGGGTGTGTGTGCTTGTGTCGGATTGGATTTTTACCTAAAATCTCTTGTATGAACAAAATTTATATATATGAATGTATATGTAAGCATGCCCCTCGTATACAAATTTCTGCATCTCACTTGAATTTAACAGTACCATGAAAATCAACTTTTGTAATAGTGACACACTAAATCAAACAACTTTTCCGCTCCACCAGCAAGGCGGAAAGGAGATTACGCAACATTTTGTAAGTGAGAAAATGCATAACATCGGAATATGGGCTAAAATCAACAAAAACTGCTGCTGCTGATTGTTTGCCCAGACAGACAGATTCGCCAATATGCTCAGCTACGCTTACGGTGGCGTCACCGACACACATCGATGTTGCATTTGTTTGCACTTTGTGTCATCTCTTTTTTATTTTCTCCATCTACGAAATCGACGCTTTTGCACAATGCACTTTTTTCCAGAAACTGCGGAGTGGTTTCGTTTGCTTTCCCAATACTGGTTTTGCTAGCAACAGCCATTTCAGCTCATTCGCCAATACAATTTTCACGTTTCTACTGCAGCAGTGTAATTTCTTTTGCAACACCGTTTTTTGCAGCTAACTTATTGTTGGACTTGCATTTTTGTGGCTGTGTGTGTACTTTCTTGAGCCTTATGAACGCCGAATTCGGTAATGAAAATGATGCCACTGAATTGGTATTTGCGAGTATGTTGCCGAACAGGAAAATGGAAAAATACCGTTCGGCGGTTGCTTTGATGGCGATTTTTGCTGATAATTATACAATCTTTTAATGTACTTTGTAATTGGAAGAGAAGTTTAACTTTTACACAAATCTCATATTGGAATATGCAAATATATTGGTGTATATTTGGCTTACATTGGGAGTCAAAGCTACCAGCTCCATTAATAAAAACCTTTCTCCGCTGGAAATTAGAAAAATCTCCTTTTAAAATCAAACGTTTTGATGAAGAATACTGTGAGAAAGCTTGGGACTAACGCAACACTGTGAACTAAAAGAGCGATGCTCCCGTCAGTTTCTTAAGAGCGAAATGACAAAACTCTGCGTTTTCATCATTCTTGCCGGACAAATGTACATCGCTGAGCGACACCACTGATACGAAAGCAAATCAATATTGATAGCACACAAATAAATAGAGCATAGATGAGCTACAGCGTTGATGCCAAAATAAATCAGCATTGATAAAAACATACATATATTTTATAGAAATATGTTTTTTCTTTGCGGAATTCGTATAATAATAATATATGATCATTCGCATATGATCTTTTTCGTTGTCCATCTTCCATGCGTCTTTTCACTAAGCAACTCAAATCAAAATGAAGTTATTTTATGCTTGATTTACAGTTCGGACTGTTACCTTTCCAACGATATATAATATGTATATATTTCTCTCACGAGCGCCACTCTCAAACGATTCGAATGGCATCCAGCGGAATCGGGCACGAACTTATGCACTCATCCAATATTAATATTCAGTACTTTTCCAATTTTTCTACATATGTCTATTATGTCAGGTACATAGTTTCTATAAAATGGAAAGGAAATACGAATACAACAAAAAATGCCTCTGAGAATATTAGGTGAAAGAGAAAGTACTATGTCAAAATTAAAAACGCATTTTCCGACGGTTTTCAGTGATTGAAAAACGCTAGAGAAGCTGTTCAATGGAAGTTTGTTTGAAAATGAAAAATTAATTTGGCAAAGTCTTGGCCTCTCTTACTACCCACAAGTTATCAAGATGCGCATAAACATTTACACCATAAACCATGAGAGGGAACAAGGTCACATAAGAATTTGGCGATGTTTTCTAAATTTCGGTAGATACCAAAAATAATTTCAACTGATGCTATATAATAAGTACAATGTTTTGGAAATGTATCTCGAAAAATTTAAATATTATAGTATAATCATAGGGCTGTTATGGTAATTAATTTATATATTTATATGTCTACACGATTTTTTCAATACAGTTGCCATCGGTGGAACCTTTTAAAATGGACGCTCTATCATTGCAACTCACCGATGGGCCGCAGGGCTATAAAATAACATTGAAGAATCTTGAGGTGTTGGGCGCCAGCAACTTTCAGGTGAAATCGATGAAGTTGAGTGAGGGCGATGAACCCTTCAAGGCGCGCATCGCGATGCCAAAATTGAATATTGAAGCGAAATACACAAGTTCCGGTGTGCTGCTCATCATACCTGCCTCGGGTGGTGGTGATTTCCACGCGACTTTTGGTAAAAAATATAGTATAATATAAATCCAAAATAAATAAATAAAAATTAAATATATACGCATAATTCTAATAGTGAAATGTCTACTTAAATTTGCTCTTATTTCCAGAGGGTGTCATCGCCGACATTACCGGCAAGGTGTCGTCAAATGAGAAAGCCGGTCGCTCATATCTTCATGTGGACTCACTCAGTCTGGTGCTGAATGTTAAGGATGTCAACATGAACATATCCGGGGCCTTTAATAACAATCGGATTTTGCGTATGTGTTTGTAGTAGTAGTGTACATTATTTCAATTTCATATACTTTAAATTTTAACTTCAGTTGAGGCCACAAATCTGTTCCTGCGCGAGAATTCCCGTGTTGTTTTGGAGGCTATGCAAGCGCAGCTGCAAAAGAAATTGGCACAAGAATTCGGCAAATTAGCAAATCAGTTGTTGAAGAATGTGCCTAAAGATCTGTTCTATGTGGATTAGAGTTTGTGATTTGCGATCTCTGCATTACCGGTGATTCTAAGACATATGTATATATGTACGGTATATATACGGTATATATACGGTATGTATACGAGTATATACATACATATATGCATCATAAATTTCTAGTATTAGTCGCCATCGGAATCTCGTCGTTTTTAGTTTTTATTAATTCCTATGACACAAAATACGGAAGCGTTAATCAACTCATCTGGTGTGAACACTAACAAAATTATTACGTTGTTCCAAATAATGCCAACAATACTGCAGAGCTTTTAAAAATTAGTTTCTTTATATTTGTCTATGTACATAAATAAATAAATTAACTGTAAGTCTAGGTAGCTATAAGATTTATGTAGTCTAGTTCAGCCTTTTTGTATTACAATAAATTTTATTGACAAAATTATTATTTTTTGTGTGTTTAAATATACCACATTCAATTACCAAATGCACTCGTACTAGTATTCAACTCCATGAATCAGTGTTTCCATATAAATACATATAAAACTTTTCAGATGATGACTTTTCGTTAACAAGTCGGCTTAGGTTTTGTTGGCCAAAATTTAGTAAGTACTTGCCCACGGTGGCCGCGTGGTTACCAGTGGATATTGCCGTTCGGAAAGCCCGTAGTGGAAATATATATTTTACGAACGACCAATTCGGTAAATGTTGCAGCTGTGAAGAATGGTATAAGTAGAAAAGTATGCTGTTAGTATATTGGTGTCTTTTAGAAAAAAATTTAATTTGAATTGAATCGAATTTCGCAGATATCGGACAATCACACCATACGTTCCAAATATTCACACGGAAAATGAATCAGCAAAATTTCAGATATTAATTAATTTCGTAATTTCAAAAAAATTAATTTCCCTTTATCTATCTATAAACGTCGAAACTTCTTTATCGGTGATACATATTTCATCACTCAGTTCAGTTTCCATTTTTGAATTAGATAATAATCACGAAAACTCTGGACTGTAGGGCAACCAACGCAGCACAGCTCTTATGAACGTGCACCAATCTTGGCTGACCTACCAATCTACGAATTGGTTTTGTTTTGGTTGAGCATCGCTGATGGCGATTTTTCAACTTTTTTTGGTGAGCTATAGCGTGGTCGCCTCGGTGCTTTTGCTCGGCCTCGGGTCTTCTTCAAAGGACTTGTTTTCGAACAAGAATACCCGTTAACCAATTCTATCTCTTCAATGATGGTCGCAGCTGATTTTTCTTACTTGGACATGAACTTCGAAGCGGCATCATATTTGATTTTTTCCAACTTCACTTTCCTCTCCCGAATTATGTTGCTTTGGTTGACCATATCTCAAAGATTAATTACCTAATAACAACTAAAACTCGTATTTATAGTAATTATGAGTTACTGAACACATTACGATCCGCCGTACACCCTTTTCATTCAGCGAACAAATAAACGCTCCCTCTTAAGGGCACACCTACTGTAATGGCCTAAAAAAAATGTGATTTTTGGGAATTTTTATTAAAAAAATACTTTATCAATTATTTCAAAATTTTAAGAATATATTTATACATGCTCCAAGAGTATACAGTGAAATTTTTGAAAAAAAAAAATTAAATATTTTTTAAGTTATAGTCGATCTCCAACGGCGCGAAAAAAGGTCCTTCGCTGCTGCAGTGATTCCGGCCTTCAGCGTATGAAATCTAAAAAAAAAAATTCTCTACTAGATAATATTGTCTGCACATTGACCTACGATAAAAAAATCAAAAATTGACAATATGGCGGCGTTTTACTCAAAATTTTGGTCGTTTTTGGCCTGCCTGATCAGATCAAAAATCGATAGGTCATTGTACGGAGAAATATATATAAAACATGTAAACAAAATTCGATAGTGATCGGATCATTTGTTTTTGAGTAATCACTTCAGCAAATTCGGAAAATGCAGCTTCGAGAAAAACGCGTTAAAGATAAAATGATCATTTTCACTCGTAGCTAATGAGATTCTCTAGCTGCCGAGCGGCTGCTCTTTAAATTGCTATAACTCAAAAACTATTTGAGATATCGATTTGAAATTTTAATATATTATTTTTAAAGGTTTAATATACCGAAAAACGAAAGATCGATTTTTTTTTGAAATTTCACACTAGGTGTGCCCTTAAGTTTCTTCGTCTATCTCTAATCAAATCTTCTTTTCAGGGAATAAAGTTTTCAGTGAACCCGAAGATTTATTGATTTTTTGACCCAGACTAATTCCTTCAATGATACAAATGCTTTCAAATGAAATAAAGCAGCTAATTTTCTTTTCTAATAATTCATTTTTATTATTATTAAATATTGAAATAGTTAGTTACACAAGTTATTTTATTTTCACTTCGTTATTACTGTAATTGTATTTCATTACGAATTTTTATGCTCACGTTGCATTGCTAGCAGTGAACTTTGCCCTCGTTATTAATTTAATTTTATTAGAGTATAATTTACTTGTAGGGTATATAAATTTAGTCAACCTTCTTCTACTTCGTTTTCGTCTTCGTCTTCTTTCTATTTTCGTTCATCTTTCAACTGAAATCATTTTGGTTTTGGTCAATTGGTTTTAGTTATATTTATAGATAATTACCACATTACATACATACATCTAGCTTATACGCCTTTATTTTATGTGTGAGTGTTAATAATTTATATATTTATATTTATAATTTATATATATTTATGTGTATTGTATGTGTGTGTGTGTGCACGAGTGCTTTTACATCAGCATAAGTTAAATACATCAGTCGAAAAGTATACTGATTGCCACCAAAGCAGCAGATTCTTTTTGTTGTTGTTGTTGTTCTTGCTTTTATTTTAATTATTTTTAAAAGTAAAATGTTCCTAACGTATTGCTAAAATAGATTTCCTAAGTATATTATCAAACAAATCACATAAAACAATTATACACCGTTAAATTATAGGGGATACTAAATTACAAATATACATAAATACAATAATACACATGTTTTGTACATATTGTACATCCAATATGTACATACGAGTATGTACTTACCGAAGAAGTAGATATAAGGAAGCATGGTTTTACTGAGTACAAAATATACATTAGGGCGTGGCTAATGAGTCTGCAATTACAATTAATTATGAGTACACGGCTTGGGTATTTATTTTATTTTAAACTTTTATATTTTATTCCTATTGTATTTATTTATTTATTAAGATTTTAAGTTTTCGTTTAGATTGTATTTTAAAATATTAGTTTCAATTTACTTACTATATCGATATTTTTTCTCTTTGCCATTTCTATTTTATTGTTTTTATTTTTCTTCATCAGAAATTTTGTTAAAATTCTTAGCACATCCGTTTTATCCTTATCGTGTTTGTCATATACAAGTACATACATATTTAAGTTACTACGCAATACAACTACTACTACTTATGGATTTCCATTAAAACCTTTCTTCCCAATATTTGGATTTTTTTTTGATAAAGATGATTGGAATGAGCTGCAGGATCCCTTAATTTATTCCAACCAAAAAGTTTTCAATTTGTTGTAGTAAAATTTAAATTAGTAACCAATAAAATCATTTTGCAAAAGGTTGTACAATATCGTTGTTGTAAGAAAAGAGACTTAACTCATTTCTTCCAAAACTGCTTATTCTGCATTTAAGAACATCTTAAAACAAAAACAAAAAGAGCTGGAAGTAAATAGAATTTCACTGCCATGGAAGTCCCTAACTGACGGTATTAACGTTGACATTAACCTTGTGAGATTAAAAACATAACAACAAAGATATGCGTTCTGTTCGTATTGTACTACTCTCAATTATTTGGTACTCTTTGCGAAAAGTTCGCTCGATTTCATTAATTCTTTAAGTTTCTTCCAACTAGGCGTGTTCTGCTCTGTGAGGGTGGAGCTGGAAGCAAGAAGATATGTCGTCTAAATCGGCTGAAGGCCGCTGCACTAGTGATAGCCAGATCGTTCGTCTTTTCATTGCCGTCTTTATCCGTATGACCTTGGGGCCCAAGTGATATTTGCTGGGTCTCCCCGGGATAGTTCGCGATAGTTGGGCTCTATACTATGTTTTAACGCATTACCCTAATTTCCGCTTGGCTGTCTACAAGAAACCTGATAGTCTTTACCGTTAAAGCGGTTGCTCATTTAGTACATTCTGTTATGCCCACTATTTGCTTGGAATAAAGAGTTGTAGTCATTGAGTTTGATACTACCTTGGTTATTGACATGCTCACAGAAGAACCCTGCTCCTGTACCGGCCTCACTTTTAGACCCATCACTATGGATATAGATATCTTCATTGTCACCGATGGGCCCATCTTCCGCCAATTCATACTTACTAAAAGTGGAGTGGGAGGCGCATGTTCGATATATATTTTCGAATGGCTCCATGTCCTTTACACTTTGGGATCTGGACCCAAATGTACCTATGAAATTATACCGATCGGATAAGAATGACGAGTTGAATTTAATCAGCCATGACCGTCGATCCATCTGCATCCGAATTACCTTCATTCATATTTTGAGATATTTCAATCAAGCTTGGCACCCAGATGCACTGTTACAGATTTGGGGTGTAAATTTGTCAGAAAACCATCTACAAGCGTGAAATTTGTTATTCCTCACACGCACACATGTATAAACAAATAAACTTTGACACTGAAAACCTTCGAATTGGGAAAACTTCATCATACCGTCCCTTCCGGCCCATTTTTCAGATATGGGAATTAATAACTAAGAACAAATTGAAATATCATTAATTAGTTATAAATAGGGTGGACATTCCCTGCCGAGGGGCGATCGCAATTAGAAAGTTGAACTTAATTCTTTTATTTAAATAAATTTTCTATAACTTTTTGGATGTTAGTACGACACCAGGACTCGAACCCGAGCCTTCCGAATGGCAATACCCAATGATAACCACTCGGCTCCCGCGGCCGCCATGGCACTCATGTACAGCATTTAAATAATATTTCACAAAGAAAAATATTTTTTTTTACACAGGATCCTTTCTATTGTAGTGTGAGTTAAAATTTTCTTGGTATTTCACAACGGTGTGGTATTTTGTATAGTAATTTTACGCCCTGGATGCGAGTGTGTGTTGTATTTTTGTTGTTGTCGTAATTGTATTTAATTTAATTTTTTTTGTAAATATGCATATTTGTATGTATGTGTATGGCATAAGCCTTTGACGAGTAATTTCGTTTACATGTCAATTCGTTATGAAACTGTTTTAAAATCTGTTGGTTAAGTTTTGCTTTCCTTAGCAATGATGAAACTGATTTTGCTTTCAGATGTTAGATGTAGTATTTGCTATCAACCCTTGGGCAGTTTATAATATGTAATTACATAATTATTCTTGTTTGCCATTATTGTTTATTTTACGTTTTTAGTCTAATTTTATATTTTATTTTAAAAGCCATGCATCACCCGT